TACAGTAATACCATGCTGTTATACGCATGCTTGATTAGAACAAAAAAGAAAAAAGTCCTACCAAATTAACCCTTAGAATTATAAGCTTATTATGATAAAAAATTAATATTAAATATCTCATTTTTATTTAAAATTTGATTTGAATAGTATTAGGTTTTACGAGTAAAAAAAACATTACGTACAATAAAATATAAATTTAAATCAATGCTTTTGCTTTAGTTTTAAACAAAAGGTGTTTATTAAGTGGACAGAACACGTTAGAGTATTGATTTTAAGATACAAGGGAAGTATGATAAAGGTAAAGTGTAACCACCAAGTTCTTCCCTTTAACACGAATGCCATGTTGACGAGGTTAATGTAGCTACTTTGAAAATATAGCAAATAGATTTTTTTTACCCCAAAATCTAAGTTTGTTTACACTTCTGGAAAGAGGAAAACCATTCACACTTTGACAGGGTCCATGGCCGCCACCTTCGATCTTTCTTTCTATTTTTTACTATAAGAGATCGTCATTTTTATTTATATTTTTTCACTAATATTTTTTAAGATATTCTTTAATTAGATTTAAAAAAAGCATGAAACAGAAAAAGAAAACTGAATTAAGCACGTTGCTATGGTTGTGCTGTGCGCTCAGACAACCCGTGTATATACTAAACATTGGACGTAACTCATTTACTTTGCAACTAAGAAACCACTTTTGATTTAGAGATACTTTACCGCTGAGATTCATCATCCCTAGCAAGAAAACTATCATATTTCATGCTGAAATCGTGATTGTTTGTTCAATATTAAAGATAATCAATTGGTAAAATCTTCACTATCTTTGTGTTTATTTTCTAAGGCTACCGTCAGTTTACTGGTTATCATATTCAATTCTACCGCTTATAAAAGAGGAATATATATATGGTACAAAATATTTGAATTCGTGAAACAAAATATGAAAAGTTGGGCATCTCTAAAGTAAATATTCAATCCATATCTTCCTTACCCCTTCTCCCCTCTCAAAAATAATATAATCAACACATAATTGGTAATTAATAAGAAAAAAAAATAGTCAAGATAATATATAAACAAGGAAAAAAAAGAAAATGAAACACGAGTGTATGTTTAGTTCAATTTATGTTGAAAAATTAATCTTGTTTATTGTCAAAATTTTAGGAAATAATTTATGGAGAAAAAGTAATATTTTTTAAAAGAAAAAAAAAATTGAACTAAACATCTCGTCAGCACCGTCAGGGATGCATTTATATCTAAGCTTTTGCGGATAACTGCTCGTACCAGGATTTTATTTTATTCTGAATATATGTATATTATATGATATATCGTGTATAACATCAGTAATCATTAACGTGTATGTTACTCTCACAAACTTTTCCAAGTAACACTGCATGCAGGAGCTTGTGAAATATGATGAACAGAGACGAATGAAAATGAAATATAGAAGCATGGAACAGAGAAGGAATCAAAAGGTTTGCAGTGGATGTTAATAAGTTGTAAATAGAGTCAAAAATTGTGGCTGCTTTGCAAGATAATGACTTATGGGAAGGACAAAATGTGATAGTGGAACCCCACATAGCCTTATCCGAGGCTTATCCTCCATTCCTAGTTGCACCCCACCACCAAAGGTGACCTACCTGCATCAATCACCATATCATAATAATATCTTCTATTTTATATAGGAAAAAAAAAAGAAAGGTGTGTGCACCTGCGTCCAGAGATAACGAAAAAAATCTCCCTGATTCCCTTTATGAACCAATACACGGCATCTTCTATCCCTTTTCACATAATTAATTAATATAATGCAATTCCCTTCATTTTCACTATCATCCCAGCTATAAAATAAAATCTCTTCTCCTCCCATTCTATGATTAAACAACCAACAACATTATTATAACATATAAAACAAGGGGCAACCCTTATTTTATTATTAAGTGTAACTGCAGCTCGTATTGTGGTGCTGATCAGGTGGGTTTAATTTAATATCCAGTTATATTTTGGACATATACAATGTTTAAGATAAAATAATTTTTAGTCTTATTCCCATTGAGAAGAATTGCACTTATATATATCTCCCCCCAAGTTTAAATTTAACTATAAACACAATAATTTATAAATCTTAAAACGTATCTTTAAACTTTGAAAACCAAGTTGCTTAGAATAGTGTCAGGTTGACCATTGATCTGATAGATGAAGATTTGAGATTTAGTTTCCATCATGCATGTGGCCCCTAATCCTTTGTGCTTCAACAATTTCGAATAAAAATAACTGAGGAGCCCATGTGTCGGAATTCCATTAGTGGAGATTAGAAATCGTTGCTACAGTTTGTCTCCTGCTGCTCAGTTTCAACAATTTAAATAATTTTAAATTATTACTATATATAATATTGTGTATAATTTCTTTTATCTCTTATCTCTTCTCTATTTATATAATATATGTATAATAATAATTGTTATATGTATTCCTCTTCTGCAATTTTTAATAAATATTTTTAATTTATTAATTGATGGCCTTAAAATACTAATTCATGGATATAAGATGTGGTTAATATTATATCATTAATATTCATTTAATGAACATTGTTAAAAGTTAAATATAAGTATAGAGATCTCACATTCACTAGTAATAAAAAATATTTTAGATTAGCGTAGTGTTTAAGTCCACTTTCTCTTTTAATATATAGACATATCAACTATTTCAAACAGGAAATTTAGTGGAAGAGAAAAAAACATAATTGAATAATAATTTTGAACTATTTAATTTATAAAAAAGTGATAATATATATATATAGTGCAATTTATTATAAAAATAATATAATTAAAGTAATCTAACAAATATGGATATTGAAATTCAACTCAACTACTTAACTAGGAGACGAGTATATTATAAAATAATTAAAATAAATAGATATAATAACAAAATTGAGTTAAATATATTAATAGTGTAATAACTTTTTATAGTATTATTTAATTATGAATTATTATATCAATAAAAAATAATAAATTTTTACAATAACTAATACAAATTCATATTTATAATAATTTATAATTAATTATTAATATAAAAAAATTATACTAACGATTAGTCAAAATTAATCTTTGAAAATATATTTAAAAAAAATGTGAGATTCACTTGATGGTTTGATTTAGATTGACACGATTGTTTGTGGTTTAAGGACTTAATCTGTCATAACTTGGAAATTACTCCATGTGTGGCCTAACCTCTAACTTTTTAATACAAAATCAAATAAAATACAAAGTTCTTGATCCTAGATTATGTGTAGCATAACATACGGATCTTTAAAAGTAGCTACGGGTCGACGAATGGGTTCAATAGTTTTTTGTTATCCTACTTGTTTTTTAATTTGATTTACTACCTTAAAGTCCAATGAGAATCGAACCCACGTTTAACATTGTCGTCTTCTTTTAAAATTCGATGTCTAACAAGTAATAACAGGACAGGATTGGCTGTAAAGTGTCCGTCTTTGCTAATAGCCCGCTTTAATATTCTTTTAGGCTTTCATAGTCACTCTTAACATATATATCTTAGTTTGTTTTCAATTTTATTAAAATCGATCATCTCTATGATTAATATTAACGAGTTATTATTTTCACAAATATCAATAATATATATTATGTAAATTTTTATGTATATAAATAATATATTAAATAAATTTAAATCAATTTTAATATTTGTATATATAATTTATATGCTTAAAATTTTTAATTTAATAATTAATTTATCAAACAAAAATTTATTAAATAATATAAAAATAAAATGTAACTTATATCGTATAATTATATATATATATATATATATATATATATATTTACTTAATAATATTTAGTTATTGTGAGAATGATAATAATAAATAAATTATTAGATTTAATTTAAATAGTTAGGATTAAAAGAAAAATTTATATATTTTTTAACTTATTATATAATTATTATTAAAATTTTAATTTTAACTATTTATGTATGATTGTATAGTCAATATTTAATGTTGTTATAGTCTTGTAAGGAGAATAAAATTCTATAATTTCTAATATATATATATATATATATATATATAATAAAAATATTTTTAATAAATATTTTCAAAAAATTATTTTAATTTATTCTATAATAATAAAATATAAAGTTATAATTTTGTTTATAAATATAAACATAAATATTTACATGAAATATATAATTTTATATAAGATTTTAAGAGATTTATTTAAAAAATAAAAAGTAAACTAATTGTAATAAAAATTAACATAATTCGTATATTATTTTAAGTTAATTTTAATATTAAAAAAATAAAAAATATTACTAAATATTACACTTCTTAAAATATTCTCATTTATAATAAAAAACATAAATCAAATTTAAATTATTAAATATAATTATGTGGTATGTTTGATTTAATTTTAATTATTAATTTTTTAATAAATATGTAACAAGGACATCATGTTAATTTTAAACTTAACCAAACGATTTTATTACATAATATATATAAAATTGTTATGCAATTAAAATTTCTTAAATTTTTCTTATCTGTTCATTTTCAATTTTTATTTTAAATTCTCGGCATATCCCTTTTGTACGAAAAATAGAAAGGATTCGATAAGGAGACAAGATAAAACACGTAACGGCGTCAGATGGACCGAGCCTAGCACGCCACGCGATAAATAGAACTGACAAAATTCAACAGTTTTTTTTTTTTTTTTTCATCAGTGATTTGTTATTTTTTCATCATTTCCGTATAAAATAGTCGATTAAATTTTTGTAATATGATATAAAATTAAATATTTATTTTAATTTTATATTATCAAAATAATAAATATATTTTTTTAAAAATGGTCTCTTTTAATTATTTATTTTTAACTCTAAAATCTAGGTTAATATGTTTTAAAATATTAGTTTTTTCCACAAAACTTCTCTCTGCACATGCTTGCCACGTCATTGCCGTCTCAGACTCTGTTGTATTAAACCCCGCACTAATCTCTTACCTTTCTTCTCTGTCGTTCATTTCCCCTCGAGTTCTCTCTTTCTCTCACCGAGTCACTGACGCGCTTGTACGGACTCCGATCCTTCCCGAGTCAGAGTTAAACGGAAACAACGCACAATAGGACGATGTCTCCCGCCAGCACCGCAGCTGACTCCGCCGTCTCCGGCGAGATCATGCTGTTCGGAGTTAGGGTCGTGGTTGATTCGATGAGGAAGAGCGTGAGTATGAACAATCTCTCACAGTACGAGCATCCTCAAGACGCCAACAACAGCAACAATAGCAGCAACAAAGACGTCGCCGCCGGTTACGCCTCCGCCGATGACGCCGTTCCTAATAACTCCGGCCGACATCGCGAGCGCGAGCGTAAGCGAGGTTCGATCAATTTCTTCGATTGGTTATCATCAATTTTTGTTTTTAATAATAGAAAAACTAGATTCTTGTGGTTAACCTTATACTTGTTGATTTTATTCAATTATTTGAGAATTGTGATATAGATTATTGATTTTGCACTGATGATTGAATTCACCAGGGGTTCCGTGGACGGAGGAAGAGCACAAGCTGTTCTTGGTGGGATTGCAGCAAGTAGGAAAGGGAGATTGGAGGGGAATCTCCAAGAACTACGTGAAAACCCGAACACCAACACAGGTTGCTAGCCATGCTCAAAAGTACTTTCTCCGGCGGAGTAACCTCAATCGCCGTCGTCGTAGATCCAGCCTCTTTGACATCACCACCGACACGGTATTTCCACCGTGACATTTCTTTTTATGTTTATTTATTTTCATATTTAGAATTTTTGCTTTAATTTTGTTTCCCAGCAATTTCTATATAGGAAATATCTAGATGCTTTGTAGTTTAATGAATGTTCAATAGAGCATTATGATCTTACAAGATGAAATGAATTTTATCATTTATTTCTTTGTGTTTTTGAGTTCTGGTCAATGGTTAAGTATGAGTACTATTACTAATGCCGTGTTATGGATTTGAAGAAAAGGAGATTAAACTTTTTCTATTTTGTGTACCTGGTTTTGAATTTCCTATGGTGGTTGAAAGTCTAGCTGAACTAGAACGGGGTAATTTAGGGATTTGGTTCCCTGCCACTGGAAGAGTTGACTTGTCAAGAGTTATATCTTTTAAAAACTAGGATTGGAGGAACAAAATTTTCATGATCTTATCAATTTTTGTGTCAGGTTTCTGTGAACCCAATGGAGGAAGAACAGGCCCAGAATCAAGACAGCGTGTCTCATTCACAGCCTGTGTTCCCTGCAGTCCCTGAAACTAGCAAAATCAATGGATTTCCAATGATGCCAGTATATCAGTTGGGTGTTGGTTCTGGAATGATCTCGGTCCAATCTGACAATAAAATGGAAGAACTCACTCTGGGACAAGGAAACATGGAACGCAATGTGCCAACCAAGCTAGTCCGAGCAATTCCTGGTGTTCCAGATCCTAGAGCTTCCACAGTGTCTGATATCAATGCTCCCAGTTCTAGTTCAGCTGTTGAGCCACCAACACTCTCCCTCGGGCTATCCTTCTCATCTGATCAAAGGCAGACATCATCAAGACATTCAGCTTTACATGCAATGCCGTGTTTCAACAATGGGGATAGCATCATTAGTGTTGCTTGAAAAAGATGCCTCATGATTATGGCCCATATCTGTAGTATCTTGGATTCACTGATCACATATATTTATCTCTAGTCTCCTGTCTTTTTGGTGGGAGAAAGAGAAAAACCTTGAAGGAAAGGGCGATGGATTAGAGAAGGCAAAGTTTAAGTGACTGAATTTGATCCTTCTGTTCCTTGTACAGACCCGGGAAAGGTCCTCATGTCCTGTTTCTTCTTGTTTGCTTATGTTAATTTTATGACTTTAGATTCATGTTTATCAGGCCGTTTATCTTTGTAGTTTATGTAACTGAAATAACAAAGTACTTTCTGTTCTTTTGCTGATAACGTATGAGCTTTGGATATGGATTGCACAGATGAGTGGTTTGTGGCTCTTTTGGGGGATAATATCAAGTGGGGTTAAAGGTTGGCAGTCTGTGTCATTCCTGTTAGGTGGGTAGCAGACGCGCACGTTTTTCCTACAGAATTTGCCTATTTACGCCTACTCACTAATTACGGTAGCTGTGATAGTATCATAATTGTTTCGAGCGAATGGATCATCTTATCTTATATAATATAAATACAAGTCATTTATAAGTTTTTATTTATCTTTCTCTCTATTGATTCATATAAAGCCTTGTTTAATTAACATCTGTATACAAAATTTGCTAATTATCTTACCATGTCTAATTTCAACCTTTCTTTTAAAAATCTTTTTTTACCATATAAAAAACCTCCCGTGGATGTGATAATCCTGGCTCCCAACATATTTTTATTATTAAGCGAAATTTGTGTAGTATCTATTAAACGAAATATATTTCATTTGCACGAATTATTGGGTGCTAGTATTTTTCTGCTGGCGATTGGGGGTAATGCTACTGGCTGCCCTACAGCATACGGCTTAAAGGCAAAGGTTCAGAAATTCCTGTTAATTTACTGCGACCGGGATGTACTGATAAACGAGGACCATATTTCAGATTTGTTGATTAGAATCCTTTCATATAGATACGAGGGACCACCCCTGATTAGTTCCATCACGAGCGTACTATTTTTCCCCTCTAACAAAACGTTCTGTTATTACAGAAGAGAAGAATTCGATTCAAATGTTCCCAGTCAACAACTCAAAACAGTTTTTTCGGGGCTGGGGCTTGTCATAATTTAGTTAGTGCCTCCTTTTAGCAATTTTTAGTTAATAAGAATAGAAGAATTTACTACAGATACTCTTATGCTGTTTCTGTATATTATATTGATTTTAAGGAGAAAAAAATTAATTAATTTGATTTTAAAGTCAATTCAATCCCATCGAATTTAATTAAAAGAATTTGGATTGAATTGATTTTTTATAAAGTAAGTTAAGTAACACATGATCCTTAAAAGTCACAATAAATTTTAAAAAACTTAAAGTAAAAACGTTCATCCAAAGGTTAACTATTGAAACGGCAGTGTTTTTATGAGTTATCTAAACTGAGTACATTTTTAGGAGTTATTCTTTTTCTCATTATCTTGTGTGATTTCTCTTGCATTAAATATTTTTAATTTTAATTATGAAAATTTCATATTTTAAATTTCTTTATCTTATTTATTTAGTCCTATTTACTATAATAAATTATATTAATTAAAATTTAAAATAATTATATAATATATCTGTAATTAAATATTTATTTTAATTTTAAAAACTTTTGTTATGCATGAAAAAATCACTGGTTAATAAATTTCGTTTTAAATTTATACTACTAAAAGAGAACTTACACAATGTTGTTGGGACAGCCAACATATTTAATTCTGCTTTAACCCGTTTGTTTTTATTGTGTTTTATTTTGCGGTTATGATAACATATCATTCGATTTTATATTTACGATATATATATAAACCAATAAGTTATTTTTTAAAAATAAGGCCATGGAGACTAAAACTGGCAAGGTAATTTTATTAATACATGTCAATACAAGTATGAGAAATATAAAAGCATATATAAATTCAATTTGTATTAGATTGGATAAATTTTTAGAATCAAATCAAAATCTCAATATATTCTAATAATTTGTTTATTTTTCAGTTAGTTTTTTTTAATAATTCTGATCGAGTTAGATTTGTTCACGAATGCCCTCGATATTTTGGCATAACGAAAGTGAAAAGGAAAGGGAATATGATAATAAAAAAGAGGATTGAAAAAATAAGAGATTTTTATCTTTGTTTATTTGGTTTCATTATTTTAATTTTATGAATTTTTTTGTCAACATATTTTATTAGCTCCATCCACGTATTTTGTTGGGCTATTTACACTAACCATGATTAATTATAGTTCGTACCCAGCAAGAACAGTCTCTGTCTGATTGTCAAATTTAGGTATGTTTGGTTAGCTCTAAGGACAATGTCTGATATTATTGGGTGAAAAGCTGTAGAAGAAATATATGAAACAGGGAAGGAGAAGTAATTGTGGAGCCGAATCCTTCTACTTGTTGTGGGTAAAAGATCATGTCGGGTTCTATGTCATGTTTCTTCACCGGGGTGCAGTATTTTTTTTCATTTTTGTTACGTTCGGTTGTATATGGTGGTGTGGTGTAGTTGAAATGACAAGTATTTCGTTGCTGACATAGGTGGTCCAGTGTGTACAAGCTAGTACAGTTCTCCATAGTCAAATGGATTTTGTTATTCAATAGTAAGAAATTCATTTCAAAGTCATATCTATTCGTGAAAATTTTACACACTCATAACCTCACAATTTATATCTCGTAAATTAAATGTTTCGTTAAGCTCGAGTGTGACTTTTGCATATAGTTAAGGCCCAAATGATGGTGTATACATAACCTTCAGTCTCAGGCCTTTTAGGCCCTTAGCTCAATTATGTTTTTGGTGACTCTGGACTTTAGGCTCTACATCAACACTCACTTTGATAATGGAAAATTTGACTTCGATCAACAAGAAAACAAATGACCCAGGAATCTTACGCACGGAGGAGGTATCTTATTTGGGTATCTACTAGTCTTCGCATCACGCATGCTAGAACTATTTTTACAAATTAAGTTCAATTAGACGAAAAACACTTTTCGTTTTAATATGGCACAATCGCACAAATAATTGGTTTGAAAACAATAGTCCTGCAACTTCTAAGAGCAATCACTTGCTCTCTTGGTTCTAAAATAAAACCACGAGTCTCAATTCAACTAAATTTGTTTGTATTCAGATCTTTCTGCACAGATTATGTGAACTGAATGGAAAAAAAAAGTGACAAAACACGTTACATGTGGTCTCGATTTTAGATCCGGGTCACAGAAATTAAGAATTGAATAGTTAAAGTGAATGTCATTTTATTATAAGAAAAAAAATTGAATGATATATCACAAAATCTAGAATTAAAGGGAGAATTTTATAAAATTAAACACTAGTACGATATCGACTTATCATTTCAGGAGTAAGGTGGAGATTTACTGCTTTTGAAACATATATCCTTTGCGAAGAATAAATCAGACTCTTGTTATTCCCTAATATGAACCATGTTCATTAAACATTTTTGTGAAGACTTGGAAAAAATAAGCAATTTTCCTATAGATTCTCGAAAAAGTAAGTGTGAAGAGCTAACAAAATTGTTGACTTATTTTTACCAATCTTAAATTTGAGCTTAAGGTAAATTTAAGCTCAAAAAGCTACTTCATAAAAAGAGGATTACTTTTTTACCCAAAAAAATAGAAGATTATCTGGACATTTATAAGTTGTTCTTTTGTCATATTTACAATTGATGTAGGATCTAAACAACCAAAGAACAAAGAGAGATGTGGAAAATTACTTTCCCTTGCTAAATTAACATAATGCAGGTATGATTGATAACTTAATAGGCATTAAGAAAGAAGAAAATCAATAAGGGTGCAAATTAAGGTGGTGGAATCAATTGATTAACTCTAGAGAGCACAGATATTACGTATGACTCAGCTATAAACATGACGAGACAATGACATGATCATCAGCTGTCATCATACCATGATGTAATATTTTGTTCACATTGGTGATGGGGGATCGTGGAAGATTTGGTTCACTTGTAGAGCACACAATATCTAGACTCAGATTCCCATTTAGCTATAGCCATTCCCTTCGAAGGCATAAGTTCCTTGGGTACGAGCTGCACACCGAATTTTATTGTTCAATTATTCAATGCTTTGAACAGATATTTGTCACTAGAATGAACCAACACATAACTTGAATTCAAGGTTCGTAAATGCTATATGCCGGGCATTTAAGTGAATATACTATATACTTCTCACGGGGTTCTTAACATTGAAGACAAAGTAAAATTATTTTACAGATATATTCAGAAAGGCGAAAAAAGGAAAGATGCTGAAACCTATTGTGAGTGAAAAGAGATGGTAGGCCGGTGAAGGATAAGACAACAATTGAAGTGAACATCTCTTCGTTGTTATTTCAGTTAGGCTCAGCCAATTTTACTCATAAATGCTGTGTATGTTAGCTTGAAAGGATTAAACACTAAATTCAACAGCCACTTGTTCCATAGGGTACGCGCATGAATACTTATTGAATTGTATAATGGTCTTAAGTTCCCTTCTTTCTACACACCCATTTGGATCTTAAAATTCTAGTTAATGAAAAATCAGAGGCTTCAATGTTGGGGTACCAGCCATCAGGATGTTCAGTAACTATATTCTTGAGCCACTTGTACACGATTTCTTGTACTTTATCTTTTTTATCCACACATATGTGGGACCACCACTATGACTGCAACACTTAAATACTTATCCTTAATTTTATTACATGCCATCTATATTTTGTTCAATTTTCCCCTTGAAAAATATCTTCCCTGACATGAGCCTAAACAGCCACTGACTAAAGAAATTATTTGTGTATAACATATTATAATCATAAAACCAAATGAAATCATTATTTAATTCATGCAAACCCATAAATTGAAAAACAGCACCTATATAAACTCGTCTACATATAATACTTGTCCATTCGGCAAGGAATATTAAAGAAAGCATCAATGAAAAAGTTAAGCTGGGTCTCATCAGAAACAGCCACATAACTTTTTTATTGCAAAAGAGCCCTTCAACTAAGTTTAATACATCTGGTTAATGAAGACCAAAATGGCTGCTTATGTAAGTAGTATATTTCATACATATATGAAGTTATGAAGAGATGCAATAGCTAAATTACTTTTATAAACCACGGCCAAGCTGGTTACGTATCTTGCAGATATAGTCAGTAGCCAATCCATCAACACACTTCTCTTTCTTTGGGCTAACAGCTTCAGTTTTGATCAGATATGTGGGGTTTGCACGGCTCTGTGGCTTTTGAGACCTTTTGGGTGCAGCTGCAGGGAATTGATCAGGAACAAGAGGTTCTTCCATATCAGAATAATTATACCCTGAAGGGTCTTTCCCACCCTTTCTAACACTGCTTCTAGTGGTAGCTCCTCCAAGGGTCTTTTGTGCAATGGAGAAAGAGGATAGCCTAACGACGTTAACAACAACCTTCATTGATTTCTCACAAAGAGACATATCATTCTTGGACTTGACACTGCTATCCATGGTGTGTGAAGAGATGGTTGTTGCAACATCAAAGGCATGCAAGGTCAATTTATAAGCATACGATGTAAATGGGTGAATTGGTCTTTTTGGGTTCTTTCTGGTTTCCTGTAAACTGTCATACAAAAATATACTAATCTCAGCTCCTTTAGTGGGTGGATCCCTTGCCCATTCAGTTAAATGAAAGTTCTTTTGCAAAGAGTACAACCCACGTAATCTAGACAGAATCTTGTTGCGTTACTTGTCCATTTGACGAGTGAAATCATGTGGTAGCATACATATAATTAATTAATAATTGGTTTCGTGACTTTGGTCCCTGGTCGCACCATATGCAAAACCATTAAGATTCTGGGCTTTATACACATGGCAAAAGTTGATTTCAGGGACTAGTATATATGTATATTTATATGGCCAGAGACTTGTAAGATGTAATCTCGAATTTACCCTGCCCTTAAATCAATCACCTAAATCACATGTTTAAGTGTGTTCGATATTTTATTACATTTGTCACTCAAAGTCTAAAGTCGGGGAGGAATAAGATTCTTTGATACTTCTATTTGTGTTTTCAAGAATGCCTCTCTCACTGTTTGTTTCTGAATACTTGTCTTTACTTTTTAAGTAGTGATTTCGCCTTAGCCATTACGCTTTTCCTGAGTCATCTCTTCCTGTGCACCAGATCCTCTATTTTTCGAGCATGTAGCGATGGAGGAGAAAGCCCTTTCCAAACAACCACACAAAGATAAGCACCTTGATAGATTAGGCAGATACTTTTTTAGATACTATTATTATTTTGTGTTTTCCTACTTTCTACCAAAGAAAAAATGTGTGCACTTCTAGAGAAATGGAAACAAAGCCAAAGACATTGATGCTGACACCTACCTCTCTCATAGATTTTAGGTTTAAATAAATTATAAATCCATAAAATTATTATACCTTCTAATTTTAGTTCTTATAAAAATTTTATTCAGTCTCAGTCTCTCGTTAAAGACTGTAATCTTTTTCTTTTTTTTTTGTATTTTTAAGATACTAAAATTGAAAGACTAAAATAAAAAAGACATGATAGTTTTAGATACTAATAACTTCTTGCATAGATTTCATAACCAAAACATTTGATAGCTAGTCTTGAATAGCTCATAGCTACATATACATAAGGAGCAACAATGAATATGCATAAACGTTTCAGTGGCGTTGCTGCATAAATACGACACCATAATTTGATACATACAACTCTTCTGATGAAGAATAAGTCAAATATGCCATCCACTTCCCCCCTCATATTTTGGGCACTGGCTAGTCAAATATGTTAATGTTTACATGAATGGATGACAAAGCAAAGCATATCTTTTATCTTTGTTTAAGACAAATGAACTAAGCTGTCATATCAGAGCCACTAAACATTCTGTACTATATATTATCTCTGCAATGAGCAGTTACAACGTTCGTTCAAGAGTTGCCTTTGATTGAAAGAGAATCGTGGGTGGTGGCACCTTTGTGAGAGAAGGCTTGGGTTACGTGCATGCTAAGAAAGAAGAAGATTTGGGTTACTTGTCTTGTTGAGGTAATAATTTGAATATACACATTTTCTTCCTAATTCAGTCTAGGTAGATGAAAGCCAAGGGTTTGGTGCCACATAACTGAAGCCTTGGAAATGGTCACCTGCAGTGGGTGTGGGTGCTGGTGAGTCATCAGGAGGCATTGCTGTCCAACATTGGTCAAAATTAGCTGTGCAATCTTTCCCAGAAACATCTGGTTTAAACTTTGGTTCCAGTTCTCTTGCCTCCAGTTTGTTCCAATTGATTGACCTAAACCATTTATGACTTTTGATCTGGTCATCTCCATTTGGCCCACTGCCCAACCTTGTCGATGGATCCTTTTGCAGCAACTGTAACAAGTAAACAATAATGGACAATTTTTAGCATTGGACCTCTCTCTCTCTCTCTCTCTCTTGCCAAAACTATATTTATTTTCACTCTCAATACATAAACATTTGGAGAACATCATGTCCTGTGTTCTTTTATATTCTTTTTCAAATTTATTCTTTGAATGATGATGCTTTGTAACAAAAGAACAAGTACAAAAATGTGGCCATCGATGTTTTACTATTTCTAAAAATGGGCATCATGTTAGGAAGGGTGGTTATACTCATTGTGCTGATGATTTTATTCCCTTCAATTTTGTACTTCAAATAATTACTTTTTTGGGCACGATGATCACATCTTGAGTGTGGCTATTTACAGCGCAACCTACACCGATTCACATACAGTAGCAGGGAAATCATGGAAGATTTTTTCCACTATTTTTTATTAGAATGCTAAAATCATTTAAAAATCATATTGTTTTTAAATGAAAAGTAGATTAATAGACCATCAGGTTCAATTTAAATATATTTTAAAAATTGCAATGTGTTTACAAACTATAGGGTTTTTTTTTTTTTTTTTTTTTTGAAAAAGGAATTTAGAATAGTTATGACAAATATAAATTGGAATATGCCTATGCATATGGTATTGGGTTGAATTGACATATATCTAGTTTCGTTACTTATGCGAAGCCACGGTTCATCAAACCAATTCAGTATAAATGTAAAATTAATGTTTTAATGAATCGAATATCCAAATAGTATTACATAGGATTACTTCATGAGTAAAGCGAAACACTTAACATAGGATTTCACCAAAACAAATCATAAAAAGAAAAAACATTGGCATGCAAAAAAGATACCAACGAAACATTACGGCAGTGAATTCAGAGATCTACAAAGTAAAATCTATACGTCTTATTTGGGGAACCAGCATATTATACTTGGAATTATATTACCATAAGAAGGGAGAGTAGAGAAAGAAAAGGACCAAAACTAGAAAACTGTCAGGTACTTACTCCTTTTAGCAAAGAGTGAGCTTCACTGGTAAGGAAAGGAGGCAGTTTAAGTTTTTCTTTAATAATTTTCTCCTGAAGTTTCTTTCTGTTATTGTGCGTAAATGGTGCCTGCCAAATAAAACTCAACAATCAGGAAAAAGATGAATGAATACACTTTCTAACATAACAAAAGCCCTTTGTATTGGGCAAGAGATTCTTTAGAGTGGTACAACTTGCTCCAAAAAGCCATCAAATGCTGGTAGCTCTACCACATGCTTTTACACACATAAGAAACAAAATAGGAAAGTTTCCTAACAGCAAAATAAACAGATTCAACCAGACATCAATTTTTAAAATATAAATAAATAAAAAGATTGATCCTCAAATAAGGATCTATAGAGATAACACACCTCCTAACTTTCCATTACCATAATTTTAACTTAAATCAAGCTCACCCATAAAAGGTAAGTTTAGAGTAAATCCATGTCATGAATCACATTCACAAGCACCTGCTGACTCCACTATCTTTATATTTTCTACCCAATGCATAAGCAACTATGCCCTGGCCAAGACTTACCTAGTCAAGACTCCTCTATTCAATATTTAATTGCAGAGACATAATTGATTCTAACTTGTAACAGTGCATATTATTATAGTATCCACAAATAATTGAACCGGTACTACCTACATAACATAAATCCTTGTAAATAATGCAAGAGATGTGATTACCTTCCCTGTTAGCATTTCATACAAGAGAATACCAACACTCCACCAATCTGCATCCTTGTTATGGCCTTTACCCAGTAAGATTTCAGGAGCCATATACTCAGTGGTCCCACACATAGAGTTGGATCTGCCGAATTGGTCGATTTCTTTAGACAGTCCAAAATCAGTTAGCATCACCTATATGAACAGGACAAACATCAAGGTTCAGTAACATAGAAAATTGAAAATAAAAAAGGAAAAACAGTAGGTGGGCATTGGCATTACATGGCCATGGGCATCCATAAGAATGTTTTCAGGTTTAAGATCCCGATGGACGATGCCGTTCTTGTGAAGATGTGCAACAGCAGACACTATCTCAGCAGTGTAAATCCTTGCCTGATCCTCACTACACATACCAAACCCATAATTAAATTTTATTAAAAATACATAATTTAATTAAAGGCGAAGAGAAGAAGGTACCTGAAAATACCCTGGCGATAGAGATGAAAGAAAAGATGGCCTCCATTAATGAAGTCCAAGATCAAATATAATTTAGATTTTGTCTGCACATAAAGTAACTAATTATGAATTGAAATAGAAGTGTATTTGATTTGTTGTATGAAAGTAGAAAGTGAAGAGGAGAGGAGACCTGGAAAGAGTAGCGGAGCTGAACGATAAAAGGGTGAATGACTTTAGTGAGAATATCTCTCTCGGCTTTCATGTAATCAACGTGATTTTTCTTAATGATGGTGTCTTTCCTCATAACTTTCATGGCGAAGACCCCATCACCGTCAGAGCAATCAATACCCTTTTTCCTAACAAGAAAGACCTTACCAAAGGCACCCTGCCCTACAACTCTAAGAATATGGAAGTCAGAAGGTGCCATTTTAGGGGCCTGGGAAGGGTGGGTAGTGACGGGGACGGTCACTGGTTGGTTATCGTCGGGTTCGGAGTCGTCATCTTCATCTTCGTGGAGGAAGAAGAGGGGATTGGGGGAGGGGGCGAAGCGAGGGGAGGGACCCACGAAGGAGTGGGACCTACTGTGGATGACGCGGGGGCTGGTCATGGATGGGGATGGGTTCGGGTCAGAAGAAGAAGGTGGGATAGTGAGCTTGCTGAGGTGCGCGGCCATTAGGGAGTGAAGGCTTTTCTTCTTCTCCAATGCCGACGCCATGTGTTTTTGTTTTATTTTATTTTATTTTCTGTTACATTTAGTGGATTATGGGAGGGAAAGAAGAAGAAGAAAACGGAGATGGATTACATTTCGCTCAATGAATTGAATTGCTGAATGATTGATTGGATTTGACGGGAATTGGCATGCCGATGGAACTATGGAAGTAATAAAACAAGGAGTTGAAAGGAGATTCTGACGCGCTTTTCATGTTCGTCAGAATCACCTACCCTTCCATAATTGAAGTTTACCAGGGCCGTTCCCGAATAAATATTTTTTTTAGTAAGTATTTAAATTAGTTTTTGGGGTTGTGTAAATTAAATATTTAAATTTAAGATTTTTCAAACCTTATTTATTTTTTACTCTCTAATTTTATTTACTTTTTAATTTTTAATAGTTATTTTACCCAAAAAAATGTGTTACGTATAGTTAGATTTATTATTTAATCTTAAGAATAAAAACTTTTTACCAATACAATTTCAAAAATATTTGAAGAATTTACTCTAATTTTCTATTAAAAAATAATTAAATGTAGTACTACAAATATTCAGATTAATATTATAAATATTTAAAAATATTAAATTCAACTCTTAGGATTAAGCAATTACTAATAATAAAATTTTATTAAAAAATTATTTATCATATTTTATATCTTTAATATAATAAATATAATTTTAATTAAATAGCATAAATAAAGCACCTATCATATATAAATTTTATCCTTTCTTTCCCTCTTTATAAAGAAAATAAATTTCATTTATCCTTGGATCTTAGATGTACATCGTAGTAGATCCTCTTTCACTTAAAGCTTCGGTTTGGATAAAAGAAAATCGACGGCTCTTGCTTTGGGTTGTAATAATTTAAACCCTACCCAAACTGGATATATATGGGAAAAGAAAAAGAGTTGAAGGTCGCATTGCTCGTTCTTGTCTTCATTCCCCTCTACTTCTTGTCAACATCTGCATTCGACTTCAACATTCGTCTCGCGCTATACTCTCCTGGAATTTCTGCAATGCATTGGTCACTCTTCTCATTCTCGAGGAATCCGAGGATTCATCACTTCCTTCCCTTAATCCCTTTATTAACATGCTGGAAGTTCAAGGTGGCCGACTAACCCAACCTGAAGGCTATTTGGTGGGGACAGCGGAAAAAATTCTTCTGATAATTTCGCCCACTTTGACTAATAATTAGAGATTTTATGTAGTAATCCAAGTACCTAGCATGGCATTTGTCATATCATCTATTCAACACAACTTATTAAAGTGAAATAAAATTTAATAGTAGGGATGAATATTCCGTTCAAAATTTTTAACGCTGGAGACGTCACAGGTATCGATAGGAGATTAAATTACACTTCAATGACACATCGACATCACATCAATAAAAAATCAAATTCAAACACGGAATGAATACAACTCAATCAGTTTATGGTCCAATATGCCGCATATGTACTTAATACACACCCTGCTCCATTTTAAGAGATTACTCCAACGAACGGAACACGGCCACCATCACAGATTTCAAAATCGATAATCATTCCAACTAAAAAATAATTGCAGTAGCTTATCAATGTACTCTATTTTCCCCCTTTTTTTTTTGTTTTCATTAAATTACAGTTGTATACCATGTAACCGCCCCCAAAATTGACAACCAGGACAAATGATATTACTCACCAATCCCACATCTCAAGAATAAAAAGATACAACACCCTATTTAATTTCTTCCGGCCAACAGAGAACATGCAGGGACAAATTCTCCTAAAAAAATGGAGAATGATAATGGATAAAAAAATGAATATAACAGATAGATAATACACAACCAACTAGCCTAACCGATAGACAGGACCTAAACAAAATGGCCCTCCCTATTACAGGCATTTTACCAATCCTCTATGATACATTTACCATATTCAACTCAAGCGGTCTCAAAGCTTCTTGAACTATTTCCTGAACTGCTCTGTTACGTCGACAAACATCTGAGAGCTCTTCAACAGGAACAGTTAATACATTAATATCACCTCCACATGCTGCATCAGAAAGAGCTTTTAAGAATCTTGATCGCTCCACATCTGTTACAGCTGTCGATGGAATTAACAAAACACTCTTTTTTGCCCATTCCAGTACTTGCAGCCCGTATGATCGAGTTAATGCCAGTAGAGTATAAGATACCTGAGGAGGTGCAGGTGCACACAAATTATAACACATAACCTGTAAACAAGGTGAACATGTACAAAAATTTAAAAAGGTAACATTGACTTGAGAAATTACCACATCCACTCGGGATTTTGGAAGGGCTCCAGTCAATGAAGCAATCAAAATCCTGGTGATGCTGGCACCTCGAGGACTAATTACACTATCTCGGATTGGAATAAACTTCTCCCCCACAGAGGAGTTACCGAGATCAAAAATATCAGCCAAGAAATGCAATATGGAATTGGAAGCCTCCCTGCAGAGGAGAAAAGCGCAAAGGTTAAACAACCACACTAAGTGCTGTAGATAAATTTTATAAAATATATCCACTGGATTCTCATAGCATAAGCTCTTTTAATATTAATATCTACAGAGAAAAAAAGGACGACAAATAGATTTAGAGGTAGATAAAACATTTAAATCAACAGCATCTTTCAATATAAAATAACCCTGGTATTCTATGAGGAAAATATTACCTTTTAAATTTATTTCATCTAATCTAGCCAAGGTAGTTCTATATTTCAAAATATGCAAATATTATCATTAAATCCACTTTCCAGCTTCCATGCGTTCAATGAATGAATGCTATCCCTCATGCCTTAACCATAAAACAGCATAAACAAAATAAAAGCATTACATTAAAGATACAATCTACATTTATGATAGAAATTCTAAAATGCAGGCAACAAGGAAGTGAGACATGGAGCAGCTTGAAAATTTGTTAAAAAATTCCTTGCATCTCAACGGTGAATAATAAACAAAAAAAGATCAAGAATATACATAACACCCTTTCAGAGGAATGTGGAATGCTTTCAAGGTTGGGTGTGAGTGCATGAACATGAAAGAGAGAGCCTGTACCTATGCTGTACGGTGATCCCAATCATAGAGCAATCAACTAATGAAGGAAAAACAGACGAGGGAATAAACAGTTGAGGACAGTAGCGAATACACCTTGAGGCCAACAAAAAACAATCATCTGCTATATCAGGCCGGGCTGTGAATTCCTGCAGCAAGAAATATGTTCAAATATCCAAAAAATATCAAAAGATTGGGAAAGGACTGTAACCACAAAGCGACTTAAATTAAACCTGAATGTTTGTAAGAAGGCGTGTTGTGTGCTGGAAGAGTGCTTCAATCAAATTTTTCAGGTAGTCAGCACAAGATGGATCAGAACCAAATATCTGAAATACAAGAGACACCAACACCATAGTTATGGCAAACTAATTCATTGACCACATAATATAGATAAGAATTTTGTATACCAATTTTTCATGCTGACTCATTCATATAACACATTTACTAACGTGCACAATATAAAGGTAGCCAGCACAATGTATAACTTTGGCAGCATTTGGTTATTAAGAATGGTTAGAAAAATGGAAAGGTACAATATGAATACCTTTATAACTTCACTAGAGAGATAAAGAAAGCACGGTTGATGGTGCTGCCGATATAGACTCTGAATCTCTTCCAGCATGGCACCAATTGTGAGTCCCATGAACCTTCCAGAAGTTCTCACCTAGAAACATGTGATAGAACATTGCTACATAGCATTCAATAATACAAACTAATCTTTTCAACGTTGATAATGCATAGAACCAGAGTTGAGCTTGTACAGACTCTTTAGGAGGAAGAAACCACCTGGGAACTGACATTAAATTTTAAATTTGTATCACTGACATGGCTGACAAACAGCCAACTGAAAACACAGTTTATTGCACATGGGGAAAACCATAAACATATTATGTTCCAACCTCAAGAAAAATCATGCAGGAACATACAGCAGTTTAAGAAATAATTAGCAAGGATTGAAACCACACCCAAAAGTTGCAAAAATAAGGGAAGTTAAGGTAGCCCAATCCAATTGAACGACTCAACAACAACTCTTGCAATGTCATTAATTATAATTGGCCAAATGTAGAAGAGTTAATGGTCTAGCTTACTCACTGCATATTTACATGCTCGGCAGAGAGATTCCATTGTTCTCATGTCCCAGGCACGACTGGCATCAATATCATTATAAAAAAGTCTCAGATAACCAAGCTTCAAAATGTAAAAGACAATGAACAGGCAAAGAAAACAAAAAGAAATGACAGACATCATAAAACACTTACACATCAAAAATAGCCTTAAAAATTGGCCACAACCGTTGAATAGCATCTGCCACAACTTGAGGATGATTTACATATCTATAAGCATATTCAGTTCCATGTTCAGGATTGGGTTAAAAAATGAGCCTAAAAGAAGGGTTGGGATACATGGACATAGCAATATTAATTATGAAACACACCTAAAGATGTAAGCAAATCGGTCAATATGAATTGTTAACTGACGAGAAGGTCTTTTACTTAAGCTTTCTGCACCTTGATTGATAGCTTCCTGATGGAGCAAGATGTATTAAGAAAAATCATCAGAAGAAAACAAATAATTAAAAAAAATCCCTGCAGATGGTCACTAACCTGTAAAGGAGTTATGACTGGTATGCATAATGCTTCAAGAGCTCTCTTAGCATCATCTGGAGGAAGTTCAGTAACAACCATACTGCAAGGATATTTAAGATGTTAAAATCAAATAGCTACTATTCAAGATAGAATCATAGCAAATAATCCTACCCCCAAATATAAATACCTTAATGCTTCAACCAGATGCAAGGAGTCTTCAGCAGGAACTTTGAAACTATCTTCTCCATTAACTGTCCTATTGTAGATGTGAAACAGACCCTCTAAGCATCCACAAAGCTTTTTCCGACAGTCTGAAATCAGAACCAAATCATCTGAGTAATGATTAATGTATCAAACACTAAAAACTTTGTCAATCACCAACTTGTCTCCTTAGGTAAGAGCCTTGAAGCACTTTTATTAGGAAGAATGATGACAACGATGATTGAATTCTTGACCATTCGGTTATAGAGGCTATCTCATATTATCTCATAAACCAACTATGGTGAAGGCTTGTTAATGGCTTTATATCTATGACATATAAATTCTAACACAAAAATTTATAATTCTCTCCATCAAATATTCATTCTAAATTAACATGCCACAGGAAAAATAATAAAATCATTTAAAACAACAT